ACGGAATCCAATTCTGAGTTCGGACGAGCCCAAACGAGCCCCTGAAGCAAAATAGTGCAGTGCAGGAATTAGCCAACGCGGCGCGGCGCGAGGGACCTTCGCGGCGCGGCGCAGCTGTCCACCACGGCGTGAAGCATCCTCCGCGGCGCGGCACGGCCTTTCTCCGCGCCGTGGAGCCTCCGCGACCCCTACAGAGGCTTCCCAGGCCTCCCAGCTCCGCGCCGCGAGAGCCTCTAGCGCCGTGGCACTCTTTTCCCTATATAAACACACAGGACGCGATCGAGCAGGGGGATTCTCCCCCTCCTGGGGATGAACATAGGCCTAGAAAACACAGAAAATTCTCATCTCCTCCATTCTTCTTCTTCTTCATTTTTCCTTCTTCTCTTCACATTTCTTTTCTATTTTTCTTCTTCTTCTTCATAGTACTTAGGGATTAAGCTTGTACTTCGAATTCAACATTTGGACTTGAGATTATTGGTAAGTTTCTTTTCTCTCGTGTTTAATTCATGAATAATGGTTAAATTAGGGGAAATGAATTATTGTGTTGAATTTGATTTACGTAGTTAATTCCTTCTGCTAGGGATAGGGGATGATTGTTCTTGAATAATTTCGTTATTGTCGGGCTCAAGATTGTTCATGCTTGTGCGAGTTGCTTTAATTAGGGTTAATTAATTCTTGCTTGATAACTTGATATAATCGAAGGGTGACACTTCGATCTTGCAATTGGTATCAATTGAATGTTAATTTGTCGAGTTAGGGTTTGTTGATTCTATATGATTAGTTGATTAAACACCTTCTGATTGAATTAGCGACTTTTAGAACCGAAAGGGGAGAAGTCGTAGACTTAGGCTCGCATGAGATAGATGATTTCGTAACTGAATAGTCTATAGGTTTTGGATTGAATTACGTACTTGCCGATGACCCGTCTCTTGTTACGAAAAGTTATTGAGACTGGGACAATTGACCTGTATTGTATGCTCGAGCTAGCTCGTCTATGTTCAATCCCTTGTTACGAAGAGTTATTGGGAGCGGACCGCTAGATGTCTAAGCGAGAGTGTCAATCTCGAACGGAACAATTGATTGCCCGGTTTTGCCTAGAACTTGAACTAATTATCCCCGATTCCCTAGCTTCTTTATCACTTTCTAGTTCGTATTTTAGGTTCGTTTTTGTTTGCTGTTGATTTCTTAGTTGATAATATATTCCCCTTATCTGATTAGAGTGTTTAGGATTTATCTTCTTTTTATGTGTGATCGATACCAAAGCTGAATTCCGAACCGCCTTCCTTGTGAGATCGACCCGAGGTCGGGAGTCATCCCGTACTCGGTAAAAATATAATTTGTACACAACGCTGCTATCATCATCCGAAGCAATTCACGGCTGAATCGGCGGGAGAAACATGGGAATCGACGGGACAGACGTGGGTGTTAGATTTTGGATTTGGGGACTTGATGTTGAGAATTTGATAATTCATAGTGACTTAATTGCAATTTCAATATTTTGTTTATATTCAATTTAGCCCATGGGGCAAATGTGTAATTTATAAAAAATTAAATAAAAAATATTATCTTTGATATATTTTTTTATACTTATGTTATATATATATATATATATTATATTTTTTTAATCAAATAATAATATAAAAATATTAAAATACTAAATACATTTTTATAATAATAATAATAAATGATTTTAATTATTTATGTTAACTTAATTAATTAAACAAATATTTTAATTATTTATTTAGTTCAATTTTAGTTAAGATTGGACATAAAAAAAATCGGACTGAATGCACAAGAATTATAAACATTATGCACCTAAACGACTATTAAAATGCACTATAACGTTAGACCAAATGCATATATTATAAAAATATTTTAATTATTTAAGTTAGTTTAAATAATTAAACAAATATTTTAATTATTTATTTAGTTCAATTTTAGTTTAGATTGGCACATAAAAACAAAAATTGGTCTGAATGCACAATAATTATAAACATTATGCACGTAAACGACTATTAAAATGCACTATAACGTTAGATCAAATGCATATTAAAGCATTCGAGAATGTGGATTGACATAACAATATGCATTTTTAGAAATTTTAAAATCTAGATTATGTTATTCTGATTTCCACATTATTTACAAAATAAATAAATAAATAAACGAAATAACGAAACCAATAAAGATGCATAAAAATATTATTATATTTTAAATATACATATATTATTTTATCTCAGTTAAAAATAATGTGACATATTTTATAAACAATTATAAATGTTCATTATATTTTTGTTATGCAATAATTCGTTAAATGAACAGTAATGTTAATTTATGTATACATTATTAAAGTTTTATATCATTGAAATGTGCAACAAAAAAAAATAAAAAAAAATAGATGCTTAATAGACTGCACAATAATGTTATATTAAATGCACATTTGTGTGTATAAGAGTACACATTATCGATTTCTTCATTTTATATATTAGTTGTTTTCAATCGATAATAATATAAAAAGTATTAAATTAAATTAATAAAATACTAAATGTATTTTTAATATGAATAAACATTATTTTAATTAGGGTAATTCTATTCAGTTTCAGTTTGGCGTGGGACAAAATTTCTATCGTTTCAGACATCACACTAACGACTTAAAATGTGCACAATAGTACAAGACGAGTTGCACATTAATGACTGTCGAATTGCACAACAACAAACGAAGCAACCAAAAAATACTATATAAAAACTATTATTTTTTTATATGTTATCTATATATATTATTTATGTTCAACAAACAACAATATAAAAATACTAAATAAAAATCATAAATCTTAAATATATTTGTATTATATAAATAATTTGATATGTATTTATTAAAGTTTTCTAATATTGAGACGCACATAAAAAATATCTGCCCAATATATTGCACAATAACATTAGGCAAACTGCACATTCATGTCAGTGGGATGCACGTTGTCCTTTTTTTTTTATAGTCTTTTCAACTAAAAGTGTTAAATATAAATATTTAATACTATATATTATTTGTTCCATTTGATTATTTCACGGTCTAAATTTTTAGTTTGTATATCACTATTTGTGCGTAGAACATTTTTAATAGTCACATACACATTATATATTATGCATCTCAATTAACATTGTTGTGCATTTATTAAACTTTGATAAATTGAAAATTTAATCCATGAACTTAATTGCTCTAAATTTAAATTTAAGAAATTGTAATTAAGTCCCTATAATATATTAAATTTTCTAATGACATCCCCCCAATCCAATTTCGTCGGTGAGCCTCAGCCCCGTCCGTCCCGTCACATCAGCATCGTCCATGCCGCTGGTGAACCTCCTGGTCGTTCTCCGCCCCATCAGGACATCGTCGGTGATCGAGTTCTTCAATTCCGACTTCGATTTTGATAAAAAGTTTACAGAATTATTCTGGCGGAGCCCTATCTCTGACCAGTTGGTTGATGTCGGCGGCGGACGGTGGAAGAACGGCAACCGCGATTGAGGTAAGAGACGACGAGCTAGATGACCGCGACTGAAAGAAGGGACGGCCATGGCAGTGAAGGTGATCGGAATTGCTGGCGGGCTTTCTGGCGGGGGAAGGCTGTAATGGAGAGGCGACGGTCAGCTGCCGATGGATGGAGGACGACGCTTTTCGGAGCTCCGGACGACGGATCAGACGGCGAAGCCGACGGTGGACTGTCGGATCTGCGGGAGAAGAAAGAGGTTGCTTGACGAAGACGATGATGACTGTGAACCGGCGGTGACGATGGCCATCACGAACGAAAGTGGTTGACATCGGAGCTGGTCAGATGAGCGGCGGATGGCGGTGGTCTGTGGAGGCTGATGGTTGCAGGAGACGATCTAGTCGGGAAGAAAGAGAGATTTGGTGAGATGTGTGTGCATTGTGTGAGAGAGAAATGGGGTAGGAGAATGGTAAGTGGTGGGGCCCGGTTGATTGATTAGTGGGTGTGTATTAATGACCAATTTGACCCTTTTAAATAGTAAAATATGTACATGTGACCTCAATGTGTACATTTATTTATGATATTAACATTAATGATTGACCATTATTTATCAAATTTTGACTTTATTCTAACCATTGATATAGTGTATCCGATCGTCCAAATTCATTCTTATTTCTTTCATTGTGCTCTATTTTCATTTGAGCGCACTTCTATATATATATATATATATTAATATATAATTACAGATGTAATTTATGTATTTTCTTAAAAATTTAATTTCTCAAGTCATCAAAGGATCCAATGACCCGGTGGTTGGTCTGTTAATCGAAAGCTAACCCAACACGGCCTCGGACGGCATTTCGCTCGGCCGGCGGGAGGCTGCACGCGAGGAGAATCAAAGGGCCGGGGAAGATGGGATATAAGAGGATATTTTCTCAGATTATGGAGAGCTATTTGAGAGCTTGAGATGGAGCAAATTTTCAGAAATTTTGCTCTGAAAAAAAAAATGGGGGAGAAGGACGTGTGAAAAATGCCATGGGAGAGGGAAAATTAGTCTTAAATTAACAAGGCAATCAATGAGATATAACATGCCAGAACTGAAAAGCCTGATTGGCATTCTTGAAGCCATTTGCATGATAGAAAGGGGGGGTTACAAGAGCTGATTGACCTCTTAACAAAAATAAGCATATATGGTTTGAATTTTGAATGTGTAAAAGAGAGCCAAAGGTGTCCAATATTTTTTGATGGTTATCCTAGTTTTTGGGGCCGAATATCCTAAGGGGCCAGATTCTCAAGCGATTGAATTGAACATTCCGAACAGTTCGACAAGCGAATAAAATAAAATCAACAAGCACATAAAATATAAAGACAATGCAATCATATGAAATAAGGGCAAGCACATAAAATAAAAACGAGCACATAATAATAATTCAAGCATAAAAATTAAACCAAAAGCAAGCACATAATCATAAATAAATGTAAGCAATAATAAAATAAAAGCAAGCAAATAAAATAATAATTATGAGAAATCATATAAATCGAAAGGGGCACTACACCAGGGGAGAAGTTGGTCGAAGTTGTATTTAGCAAATGTTTCTGCTTTCGCATTAAGTTTTTGATCTTGTGTAAATTAAACTCGAAATCTTTGGCTATGTCAGAGGTTTTTTTTTCAACTGTGCATCCAATACTTTTGTCTAAGAAAGTTTGTCTTGATTCGTGTTCTTAGAAAGAAAGAGTGTTCGAGTAACATCCAAGAGAACTTTAATTTGGTATTGTTTTTGAAAAATTTAACTTGAATTTTAGAAACCAAGTAATTTCTCTTAAATTTGAATGGGGCGTTACAGCGTTGTCAGCGTATCCCAAGAAGAGTGATGCTATTTAGCCAACTTGAGTGACAACTTGAATTAGAATCCAAGTGTAAATACATTATCAAGAAATTAAAAAATAATGCATTTACACTTGAGTTATAATCTAAATTGTAACTCAAGTGGACTTTGTAACATTATTCATCCCAACAAATAGGTGAGTAAACATATAATCTCTAATCACCGAGTCCCCGTATCATTAGGGTTTCTTCTCCCTTTGGAGTTCCAGTTCCTTCTTAGGATTTGTTTTCTTCCTGCTGTTTAGCTCAATTATCCTCTTCGATCTGGCTATTTTCAAATTATCCTCCTTGTTTCTGTTCTTATCTAGAGTTATGGTCACTTCATAAATCCCTTTCGTCAACACCTTGTGGTGGCTCGTATTTTTACTGTTATTTTTCTTTTGTTTCTGTTGTTTTTTTTCAGGTCTCCAAGTGCCATCACTCTTTATGGGACAAAGGTTGATTCAGGATCTGTGTAGGTGGTTTTGAATTTATGTAGGATAATGGAGCAAGAAATCACAGATAAATTGCAGAAATTCCTCCTATCAGAGAAAGAAGAAAGTGGGATTAATTTTTCAGAGGAAGATGTGGCGGTAGGCCTTCTAGAATGTCAAAACAGTCTGCTTGGTAAGATCTATGGAGAGAAAAGGGTTAATTATAATGGGCTGAAAACCACGTTATCAAGTATATGGAGCACTAAGCAAGCTTTCACAATCCGAAGCCTTGGATCCAACCGATTTCAATTCATTTTTCAGAATGAAGAGGATAAGTTGAAGATTCTGCGAGGTAAGACGTGGAATTTTGATGGACAATACATCATTCTCAAGTGTTGCAACCCAGATAACATTGAATTTACAGCTGAGGAGGAAAAAATCAAGATCTGGGTCCAAATACACAATTTACCACTACATTGGATAGCAGAAGAACCGGGCATCAAAATCGGCAGGCTCATAGGGGAGGTACTAGATGTACATATCCCAGGGGGAGGGAATAATGATGGCCTAATAATAAAAGTTTTAGTGGAAATGAACCTGAAAGAGCCCATCCTGCGAGGTACATTCATTAATTTCGGGGCAGAAAGGAGATGGGTTGATTTTAAATTCGAAAATCTTCAGACATTTTGCTTTTATTGTGGGCTGATCGGGCATGGGGATAGAACTTGCCAAACAAAGAAAAAGGATGTGAAGAGTAATGTGCTAAGGGTTGGCAGATATGGTGATTGGCTTAGAACTAGTCCGTCTAGTTTAGCTGATTTTCGCAGCTCTACCTATAGTGGAGGGAATAGCCAACCTAGTGATTATAAATCTCAAAAATCTTCTAACCCAGTAGCTGAGGAGAAAGGGGGTGGGGAGATTAGAGTTAGACAGGAAGTTGAGGGTGGGGATAAAGAGCCAATTGTTCAGGGTAATGGGGAGGATAGAGGGCAGGGTAGTAGTGTTCAGGGTGGTGGGGAATTGTAGAGGTCTGGGAGGACCTAACTGGTCCCGAAGTTTCCAATGAAAGTATGTGTGTGGAATTGTAGAGGTCTGGGAGGACCCTCTACAATTTCCCAATTTAAGAGGGTTATTAAAGCTCATCTCCCTGATTTTGTTTTTCTCTCTGAAGTAAAAAAAAAAACAAAAATTTGTCAGTAATGTTTGTAAGAATCTCAAGTTTGAAGATAGGTGGTGTTACAGTTGTCCTGTAGGTAGTAGGGGTGGCATGCTTCTTAGTTGGTCTTCTAATATTCAGGTGTTAGATGTGATTTCTCTTGATTTCTGTTTTCAAGTTAAGTTTTCTTTTGCTGGTAATCAAGAAGTCCAATGGGGAATTTTCTTATATGCTAGCAATGATGCTAACATTAGATCTCTCCAGTGGCAGTTTCTGATTAGGTATAAGCTTTTGTAGGGTCAGGTTTGGTTTGTTGCAGTAGATTTTAATGATATTTTGTCTAAT